GTCCACATGGCCACCTCCCATGGCCAGAGAAAATCCACATGGCCAAGCCCAACATGAAGGAAGCAGCAGAGTACATTCCTCTCACACAGAAAAGGGAAGCGTGTGTGAATATGTGAAGCAATAATCTAATTTGACACAAAGCACATGATAACACAGTGAACTCCACAGTTATGCGCCCACTGTCACACTTCCTTCACTGAAAATGTGTTCCCTGGTTAGAGAAGATGCTGTGTACTGCGGAGATGGACATAGCCTTCTCTAAGTCCGCAGATGCCAGGGCGGCAGGCAGGGAGGGTACAGCCGCATGTGGACAACCACTCTACAGTTGACAGGCATATTGCTGCCTCCTCCAGGAGTTGAACGTAACCCACCAGCCACCAGCTGGACACCTGGTCCCCCCAAAGATTAGTGTCCTATCAGGTCCTCAAAGCTGGCTTCTGCTGTTGTCAGGCTGGGTCCTCCGCAGTAGTAGTCAGGCAGCCAGATCAGCCTTGATGAAGGGCAGCCCATGCCGTTGAACCCATGCATAGCCTCCATCCTGTTACTACGGCGACTTTGTATATGGTTTCTTTGAACAAGCACTGGGGGTCTTGGGCTGGGGGGTGTGTGTGTGGGAAAGGCCAACATCCACAGTTTACAAAGACCTCCTCTATACTGAATGCCTTCTCCTGGGTATTTACACAGGGCAAGATATCTTCACATTCTGGGCCCATGCAGAAAAATTCATCCACATACTTCCCCACCAGACTGCCATACCTAATCTCTAATCTTGTTCTTTCCAAGTCTCTGATCAACTGGTCAATCCTTTAGACAGTGTCCATCAGTCCCTCAGGCCATCTCCACTCATGTAAGAAGTGGAAAACCAGTCATCCACTCAACGTTCTAGCATCTGAGATGATTTCCCTTCACCACTGTCTTTTCAGAGCTGCACCCAAGTGAGGCTGTAATACAATAGCTGCTCACGTCTGGCTCATGCCAGCATATTACACAGGTGTCATGGACCGGACACGGGGAAATCCCGAGTCTGTACGTGTGGGTTGAGGAGTGGTCGAAGCAGGTGTTACGGGAATCTGTCATTTTCAGGCCCAGTCCTGTAGACCCACTTTCCTCTTTACAGTGGAATGTTTCTGTGTACATCCAATTTTATGGATCAGGTGAAACTAAATTCATGAAGGGTAGTTCAGATGACTGTTAGTGCCACCTGACAGGTCCTGTGGCCTTCAGTTGAAGGTGCAGCCAGCCTGCAATGAGGGAGCTAGGGGAATATGTACCCCTACTTCACTCCATCCTTGCCGGTGCTCCCCATTGGCTGCATCTGACCAGAAGCCAGAGAGCCCACCGATGTGTCCACATAAGCCAGCCTCTGGGGGCTCAAAGCAGGATGAAGGGGAGAAATTCATTGGTTGGGCTGTGGTGTCAGCCTCTAGTATGGCCCCCAGTGATGCCCACCCCCTGGAATTCACCCCCCATGTAGTCCTCTCCCATATTATACTAGGGATGGTCTGTGTGACCAGTAACATATAGCAGAAATGATGAAATGTCATTCATTGGTTAGGTTATGAAAAGTCACTGCAGCTCGGGGTTTAGTTGTTGTGGCAGAGAGCTTCCTAAGATGGCCCCATGATCCCTGCCACCTGGTATTCGTGCCCTGGTATAAAACCCTTTCTTTGAGTGTAGGCTGGACCAAGTGACTCGAATCTAATGAACAGAATATGGCAAAAGTGATGGGATACAAAGGACCGTGGCTTCCATCTTGCCTGCATGCTCTCCTTCCTGCTCGCTTGCTCTGATGAAGCAAGCGGCCCACCGGAAAGTCCCACGTGGCAAGGAGCTGAGGGAGACCTCTGGCCAAGAGCCAGCGAAGAACTGAGGCCCTCAGTCCAACAGCCTGTGAGGAACTGAATCCTGCTGACACCCACAGGAGTGTGTGGGAAAGCATCACCCAGGTGAGATTTACAAATCTTAGCCTGTGCTCACTTCAGCAGCACATATACTAAAATTGGAAGGATACAGAGATTAGCATGGCCCCCATGCAAAGATGGCACACAAACGTGTGAAGCATTCCGTATTTTTGAGTAATCTTACATACAACTTTCAAAACAAACTGCTAAAAAAAAAATCTTAAATTAGTCCCGGCTGACACCTCGATTGCAGTCTTTTGAGAGACGCAGAACCTGAGGTCCCACCTAGGCCTTGCCCAGATTCCTGGTGAGAAAATGACTGTTGCTTGGAGTTCGGGGGTAATCTATTATACAACATAGGCAACCAATACAGTCTCTCTCTCTCTCTCTCTCATATCACTGTTTCTGTGGGAACTCAGCTGCCCCGTCACTGGCAGCCCTCTGGGGAGCCCACCTGACGTGAAACCACAGCCTTCTGCCAAGAGCCATGTGTGCGCCTGGCAGCAGATCCTCACCTAGTCAAGGCATCAGGTGACTGCAGCCCCTGCCCACAGCTTGATTCCAGAGAGACCCTGTGTCAGAACCCCTGGCTCCGCTACTCCCGAATGCCTGACCCTCAGAAACTATGTGAGGTAATGAATTTGCCTTGCAGCAATAGATAACTAACACATGAGCAAAGAGAAACCATTCAGCAAAGAGGAAAAGGGGAAAGTCCGTGAAACTGGGGGAAATATTCTTCAAGAAAAGTATCTGGTTCATATTTTTGATAGACTCGGAACCTGTGCACAGAGTTATTTTTAGAGTTTCTTTCATAACAAGAGTTTGTTTTCCTTTGATTCAGGGACAAACTCTGGTATTCCACTAAGCTGAGAATGATGACGTTACCTACCCTTTACTTAGTACCTACGACTGCTGGGCAGTGAACTTAATCAACCTTCACAAATAGGGAAATTGAAGCTCAGACGGGTTAGCTCATTTATCCCACGGCACACAGCAAAAGGCAGAACCAGAATTCCAACCAGGTTTGAAGCCCTAGTTCTTTTCACAACGTTACCACGGTCTCCGTAATAGTGACTCTTGTAACTTAAAATAAAAACACACCCTATAGTCCGAGTGACAAATACAGAAATACATTCATTCGTTCATTGAAGTTAGAAAGTTAAAACATCTTCATATTTCAAAGCAATTAGTGAATGGGAGACAGGACTACCCTTAGCTCTGTCCCTGACCCTTACCTCCACCCCCAGCTTGTGGCTGGAGCTCAATGTATTTGATGACGACGTTAATTCCACAAGCATTCCACTATCTGGGGATGTGGAACGCAATCCAGGATCCGGTTTCCGGAAGGGCCCTACCGTGCCCACAACGGGAGGTGGGGGGTGGCGCGGAACTGGAAGATTCAGCGGGAAAGTTGGGGAGACGCAGGCCGGGGGGATCGGGACTGCAGCGCCACCCTGGATGTCAGGGAGCCAAGGAGTCCCAGGTGGTGCCCCCGGGAGCCCCCAGCTCACCGAGAGGGAGCGAGGGGAGTGGGTCGGAGCCACACCCGGAAGTTGCTTAGGCCCGAACCAAAGATGGCGGCTGCGGCGCCGCTCGCCCACGCTCCGTAACCTCCTGTAACCAATGGAGCCGCGACGCTCGGGTGACTTACTGCGACGACTTCTGCACGACATTATCTGATGCAACCTCCGAGTTGAGGAAGCCGCCGGTGCACTTTGCGGGTGATAAGGCGGCGGCGTGTTGGAGGTGATGTCCTTGGAGGTGACCAGGGCGACCGCGGAGATGGTGCTAGGTGAGTGAGGCTCGGGGACCCCGGGGTGTGTAAGTGGCGCGGCGCGGCGCTCCTGCTTGGGGCAGCAGCCTTGTTCCGGCCGAATACAGCTCTTACCCTGGTGCCTGGCGCAGACTGGGCGCCCCGCCGCTGTTTACGTGAATGGTGGGAGGGAGGAGGGGCTAGGACCCACCTTGGGTCCGCGCTCGCCGAGCAGGCCCGGCTTCCCTAGAGCCCTGGGTGCCCCGGCTGGGGGGGCGGCCGCTCCCGGCCCGGGTGGCGGCAGCTCCCGGCCCGGCCCCAGTGCGAGAAATCCCGTGATTTAGCTGAGACATAGGCAGAGCGAGGCATGGCCAGACCTCAGGGCAGACCCCAAATATGTGACTCCTCCAAGTGACTGGCAGGAAAGGACTTAAGAATGCGAATTCTTTTTCACACATCCTCACTTATATTGAGATTTCCTGGGAGACCATCTGGTGCAGTAGGAAAAGGAAGAGATTTAGGAGACTTGGGTTGATGTCTCTGCTCGCTTACTCCTTGTGAGGCCTTCAGTTTGTTTAACCTCAGAGCTTTGGTTTCCTTTAAAGACCAGAGAAAACCGGTATTTATTTGATTTCTGTGCTCTAGCACCAGCATATCTGATTTATATATTTCATCCTCAGTACTTCAAGATGGGTATTGTTTTCCTCATCTTATAGGCTCAGAAACAAGCCCAGAAAGGTTAAGTGAATTCTCCAGGGTCACTCTGGCTTTTAAGGTACAACATCCAAGCTTCCAGTTTGGTCTGGCCAACTGAAAAGCCGTTGCTTTGTTGTTGGGGATTCGAGTAGATAGAAGCAGTACCACAAATGAAAATGATCAAAGTTCCTTTTGAAAGCTAAATTTAACTAATCCCTTTTTATGGGATGGATGTCCTTGGATAGGGGAGTGGGAAAATAATTATAATTTCTTTCGGACCTTGATAATTTTTACCAATCAGATGCTTGTTCTGTTTGCAAAGATAAAGAACGGATAAAGTAGCTGCAGTATGAGGTGACTGGTAATTACTGGCCAAGTGAGTAACTTCTTCTCTTTTTGTGAAACAGCAGAGCTGTATGTCTCAGACCGAGAGGGAAGTGATGCTACTGGTGATGGAACCAAGGAGAAACCTTTTAAAACAGGCCTTAAGGTAGTGCCTCTTTCTCATTAGGAAAACGACTTTGCATTTATTAATGACTCATGTCAGTTATTCTGTGACTTGTCAGGAGTTTTATTTAAAGCGCTAGGTTTGAAGAGAACTTTATGAAAAGGACAAGTAAGGGGTATATACAGATATGTAGCTTTAAGGGTATTACATGATCTACGTCTAAACTTTTTTTTTTTTTTTTGGCCGCGCCTCAAGGCTTGTGGGATCTTTAGTTCTCCGACCAGGGATTGAACCTGGGCCCTTGTCAGCAAAAGCGCCGAGTCCTAACCACTGGACCATCAGGGAATTCCTCTTGAACATTTTTTTTTGCGGTACGCGGGCCTCTCACTGCTGTGGCCTCTCCCGTTGCGGAGCACAGGCTCCTGACACGCAGGCTCAGCGGCCATGGCTCATGGGCCCAGCCACTCCGCGGCATGTGGGATCCTCCCGGACAGGGGCACGAACCTGTGTCCCCTGCATCGGCAGGCGGACTCTCAACCACTGTGCCACCAGGGAAGCCCTCCCCTTGAACATTTTTAATAGGTATCTTCTTTTCTTACCATACGGCATCGCATCTCGGAATTTTTCTCTCCAGTGAGTCAGTTGGCCAGTTTTTTAATTCTTGTAGAACTAAAAATCATCTTCCCTTAGTCATCTGAGTTTATGCTCACATTTCTTCCAAACTGACTCCTAAGAGTTCTCTCGGTGAATTTACCACTCGAATCCAAATGTGATCTTGAGCCTTGAGACTCAAAGACCTGATTTATATCAGTACCAAGAACAGAGCAGACACTCATGAACTCATGAGTCTGGAGCCTAAAGCCAGGATGCTAATTTCACAATATATTATTGTTTCTCAGAGTGTAGAATCCTCCTATGAGTTTAGCATATTCTCTTTAAGCAGACTTACATGGAAAGCCAAATACAGTTCAGATGGGTTCTTCGAGAGCTTCGACTCAGGATTGAGTAGGTACCTGATGGCGTTGGGTTACGGTGTGGGCCAAGAAGACATCACTCTGCAAGTAGCCGTGGGCTTGCCTGTAGACTGGAATGGCTACAGCTGCTACATAAGGAAGTTGATTAAAGCCCTCTCCCAGGACAGCACCAGGAAGTGCACTGCCCTGACACTTCTTTCTGTGTATCTGTGTCTGGCCAATCCCCCTTCTTGTGAGCTTTGTTACAGTATTCATTTAGGTTATTATCAAGTGTTCCTGTCCTGGGACCATTCTCTCCTCTTTTAGCTCATACTCTGGTTATGTTTTGGTGTGTCAACCATGGGTCTTAATTTTTTAACTGTTAGAGGGAAATCTTTCTCATTTTGGATTGTTGGGGTGATTCCTATGGCTGCCCAGAACTGACAGTAGTGTTTAGATGAATGTTTGCAAAATGTCGCTGTTAGCAGAAGTGTGCCATTCTGATTTGGAGAATCACAGTTTGACTCTTTCAATATCACTGATTAACAAAGGAGGGATCAGTACAGACTGTCAGGTAGTAAATGAATTCTTAGTGATTTACAAACATCCTTACAAAGTCTAATTGTTAAAAGGAGGAACTGAACTCTCCTGGATGTTTCCAAAAGATCCAGGTTCCCTCCTCCTCTGTAGCAATAATTGAGTTGAGACTAGTATTAAATCAAGATGAAAAGTATTTTTCAGGTTTGGAAACTAGATCTTAAGAAAAGGTCAGTTTTCATAAACTTCAGATCTTACACGAGAGACAGTCATTCATTGCATTTCTTGGTTGATGATAACTTAGGAGAAAATTTGAAGGAATATTTGAAGCAGTTAATAAAACACTTATCTTTTACATACTTTCAACTATCTATTTTTTTAAAAACGAATACAAACTATAAAATATTAAATGATAATATTGATGTCTGATATGTCCCAGTATTGGTGAAAAGAGGTACATACATTCTACACACAGGAATTTTTCCAATTAAATGAAACTTAGCCTTCTGTGTACCTAACCACTATGCTCTTGAGAGAGTTTCAGAAATGACTTCCCTGGTTTCTTCGTGAGGATTAATCGTCTGGATGTGCCCTGCAGTTGGCCTTTGCCATCAGCTGTCTCTTCTGTTGTTGTCAGCATACCTCCTGTCGGTCCCCAGGGCCACTTAAAATCTGTTGTTTCTAGTCCACATGGGAAACTATATACTATGTAACCGAACTTGCTAGAATTGTTTGGGAAAGGACGTTCTACCTTAAGCAAAATGTTCTTTGAATGTTCCGCCATTCCTTCTGTCGACATTGACCTTTGGCTGGTGGGGTCTTATGCTTTCTTCTGGGCTCTCGATTATTTTCTAGGTGATCAAAGTTACCTCATAATTCAGGTGTTATTTTGATTTTAAACATTGTACAATGTTAAAGAAATGTCCTTTTTCCTTGTCCCTCCCTCCCCAAGGCTTTGATGACAGTTGGAAAAGAACCCTTTCCTACCATCTACGTAGATTCACAAAAAGAAAACGAGGTAGGGTGAACCCAAAGCTTTACAGAATTAGATTTTGTGAAGAAACTTTCATTAGAATACAGTGGTCTTGAAAACATTAAACATCTGTTTACCCCTCCAGAGGTGGGATGTTATTTCTAAATCACAGATGAAGAACATTAGAAAACTGTGGCACAGGGAACAGATGAAGGGTGAATCCCGGGAAAAGAAAGAGGTGAGCAGTAGATTTGCTCTGTGAACATTTTTCAAGTTGGGACACCAGAAGCCATGTTAACAAATTGCCTGGTTATTAAAACTAGGCAGAAGACAATTTACGAAGAGAGAAGAACCTGGAAGAAGCAAAGAAGATTACCATTAAAAACGACCCAAGTCTTGCAGAGCCAAGTTGCGTAAGTGTGATGTGTATCGTTTCAAATATCATGGACTCACGGGGTCAAACTGTTATTTCTGTGTCTGAGGGGCATGCCACGTGCTTTGTTCCTTTGCACTGTTTGTCTCTTCTTTTCTTTCAAAAGGGAGAGAGTGCAGTAATGTTTGAGAGTTATGAGGCTGGTCCTCGCAGGGCTCCTTTTTTGATAGAATTTAGTAATTGCGTGTTGAACGAATTCTGTCCCGACTAAAAGCTAGCAGCCCTGGAATCCAGGCCTGGTGGGCTGTGTGGTCTCAGACAAGTGATTTTACCCTCCCCTGGATGTCAGTTTCCTCACAGTAAAAAGAAGAGTTGAAATCCAAGATTTTCATGATTTCTTAAATAAAGAAAACGTTTTTGAAATTTGATTATGTACATATAATCTTCCTAGACCAGAATGCTGGACTGTGAATGGACATGGTTAGAATTCGAACGGTTCTTACTGCTGCTGGATTGCCATTGTTTTCTTGCTTCCTTAGTGAGGAAGCTGTTTTCTTGGCCACACCCTGCAACCCCTTCCTCCCCTCCCCTCTCTCCTCCATCCCTCAGAGGAAAAGCCAGCCTGGGCAGCTTCCACCACCCAGGGTGGTGGGAGGGATGGTGAGGTCAGGGGGAGGGCTCTGCGTGGACTAGGCTTGTTGCTATTTTGAATTCATTGATTTTATATAACAGTATCTGAAGTTCTGATTGTTTCGCTGACAGTTTTGCACTAAGAGAAAGAAGACTTGGATTTTTTTTTTTTTTTAACCCCTCCAGT